AGGAGCTGGGGGATTTGAGAACAAACACCCACTCCTGTGAGACTTGTGATAAAGCGGCAATTTAAGGGATGGTTGGACTTAGGGGCTAGATTTTTAAAATTGCACCCTGTGCTTCCGCCCGCGTTTTATGGCCCAGACCCCCATCTGCACATGGTAAAATCCCCCCCTTGGCGAGAGCCGGGAATGCACCTGCCGCGCCTGGCGCAAAGCTGGCACCGAGGAGTGACCCCCACACGCGGGCTCAGCGGAACAGCGATTATCCCCCGGCCCGGGGCTCGGCGCAGGGAGCCCGCGGCACCCCAGCTGCTCCTTCCCCGGGGGGCAGCGCTAGTTCCTCTCACGCCGTCCGCGGAAAGCCCCCGCCTGGCACCGCCGCCTCGCCCTGGTCCCTCCCCCGGGGCGGAGGCGGCTGCCAGGATATCCCCGCCGGCCCCGGGAGTCCCGCACTCGCTGCTACCCAGCGGGGCAGGAGGATGCGCCGCGCCTTGCTCCTTCTCCGCCTGCTGGGCGGCTTCGCTGCGCTGTTGGCTGCTGCCGCCCGGGATGCAGGTGAGGGGCCGATGCTGGAGCCCTGCGCGTCCCGCTGGTCTCCTCCTTCTCCGGCCTCTTCCCCACTCTGGCCCCTTCCACCCGCTCCACCCCGGGCCCATTTCTCCCCCTCCCCGCTTTGCTCTCTGTCGGTTTTCTTCCCTCTCTGCCCCCTGGCAAAAAGGGGGATTTGGTGCCTGTGAAGGTTGGTGCCCAGGGCGCCCATTCTAACGGGGCCGTGTCAGGTTCTAGGAAGACACGCCGGGGTTAAACGCCATTTATTGACAGCAGCTCTCCCCTTGCCTTATCCACACCCTCCTGGGGTCTTAAAGTGGAAAGAATGATCACAAAACCATCTCTTGTGTCTCTCTCCCTCTATGCTGCTGGGTTACATTTGACCCTTCGCTCCCCTTGGGACAATGAAACTAGGCTGGCTGGATTCGTGGTCACCTGGGCAAGGCCCTTGATCTTTCTGTGCTTTCCTTTTGCTCATCTGGGAAACGGGTGTAAAAGTACTCTGCCATATGTAGCCATAGGCTTAATGAAGTGTTTTGAGATTCTAATGTAAAAGGTGCTGCTCCGATGCTTGTTTGTTCTTTTAGGTCAGCAGACCAAATTCTGAATTCCCTTACTCAAGCATAACTCCCCACTCACAACCACCGGAGTCATGTTTAGCTCTGGACTACGGAATTTCACCCAGTTGTGACTGGCTGACTAGCTAAAGAAAGTCATCATCGCAATGGCATTTATCATGAGGATGTGGGGAGTGAGCTTTGATGCACTGTATTTTTGAAATAGAAGTACTTTATACGTAGATAAATATAGTAGGTCGATGAGCACTATCAGACCACTACCGTTCATTTGCAGAAGTGAAAGATACGTGAAGAATTAAAATATTACATAGTTGTGCCCCATTTCCTTTGTTCACTGCATTAAACTATAGGGTTTCTTAGCTACTGAATGAAATTTGATTTGGAAAGAATGCCTTTGTTTTATCTGGATAATGGTTGCTCCACATAGACAATCAAAACTCTCGGAGGAGAATATCTGCTAAGACTCTTAATAGAGACAGGGGAGGCCAGACGTAATATTTATTTTTTTATGGGAACTCTTTAGTGTAACCACTTCAGTCCTGATCCTGCAACTAGTTAATAATCCTACAGGATTGTGACAACGTTACGTGCTCAGTATGATTAACATTGTCTAGGAGACTGCAGCAGTGATTCTTGCTTCAGGGTAAGGCTTTTATGTCAGTGTTAAACGGTGAGTCTTCATCACTTTTTATTTTGTTGGTTTCCCACCAATTCTGAAAGCAACAGTGATTTATAATTTTGCAGATGTCATTATGGTATTTCAGTGGCCTTCAGGCTGTTAAAATCTGACTGATAAAGGAGTCT